TACAGAACGCAGACCAAAAATCAATCAGTCAATCAATCAACATAGTATATAAGGCAAGTGAAATGTTAGCCAATTGTGGTAAGTGTTACATTCATTTAGTAAGTATCTGAGCACCATCCTGTGCCAGGCACTGATCTAAATCCTGGAGATGTGACAAGGAACAAAATAGTCCCTTAGCTTTGAGATAACAGAGATTCTAATAAAAAGGGAGGTGATTTTAAATAGAAGGGATCAGGGAAGGCCTCTCCAGGAGTATCCTTTAATCTGGGATCTAAAAGATAAAAAAGAGCTAGCCTTGGGAAGAGGGTGGAAAAAGTATGCCAAGCAAATGGGGCAGCATGTGCAAAGATCCTGGGGTGGAAAAGAGGCCAGTAGTTCTGAAGAACTAATAGAAAAGAACATACCGAAGAGTGTGGGTTGAGCAAGGGTAGAAAGCAGCCATGGTATGGAATGAATATCAGTCCATGGGAACGTGGAAGCCACTGGGCTAATTTATTGCCATTTTGCCATTTCCTAGAATCCCCTTCCCATGGGTTCCAGGTCCTGCCAGTGGGAGGCACCCTTAAGAAACGTCGCTGGCAGAAGAAGAGAGGCTAGCTGGAGGCAGCTTTCTGGAGAATTTTGTGAGGTTTAACTGTGGTTAAAGGTTTTTAAAGGTTCCCAGTGGTTTTGGGCAAGCTTTTGAAAACTACCTAAGAGGGCAAGGGTTGACAATCTATGGCTCTCAGGCCAAATTCAGCCCACTGCCTGTTTTTGTAAATAAAGTTTTACTGGAACATGGCCACGTCCATTTGTTTGTATACTGTCTGTGTCTGCTCTTGGCTACGACAGCAGAGCTGAATGGCCTGCAAAACCTGAAACCTTTTCTTTCTGGTCTTCTACAAAAAAGTTTGCCAACCCCGTGCTAAGATGTGGCAGGACAGCATGTCAGAGGCTGGCCTTGAGCAAGGCTTCAGTTCTCCGTGCTCAAAGACAGGGTGATTTGAGTTATCCTGACCTGACCCTGACACCCAGCAGAAGTATTATGCGAGGAAATGATGAGGTCCAGGTAATGTTTTAAGATTATACTTTTTGCTGCTGTTTAGAGGACAGATTGGAGGAAGGCAACTGGAAGTAGGGGATCCATAAAGAGGCAGTTATCCAGGTGAGACATGATGATGTACCAGGGGGATGGTGGTGGGCTGAAAAGAGAAGATGCAAAATTTATTCTAGAGACACCCAACAGCAACAGATAAAACTAGTGCTCAGATTGTGCTTTCAAGTCCTATTCTCCAATAAAAAGAACCAAAGCTCCTTTGGGAAACGGTTGATCCCAGACTGAGGCAGGAAATACACAAGAGGCACCAGGAACATCTTATGATACCAGAAGTTAAGAAGTGCTTTAAAAAGTATGGGGCCATGTTGAAAACATAGGAGCCAACTTGAAGGACCTCCCAATGGCCAAACCTCGAGCGAGCTGAACAATAAAGCAATGAGAACAATAAACGATTTAAGTCAATAAACAAATAAACGGGGGGGGGGGGAAGACAGTACTTCTTTGGAGACATTCCAGTTAACAAATGTGAAAGAAATGATAGAAATTGAAAATCACCACTTGGCAAACCACAGGAGTAACTGTTACAGCCAAGAATCGTGGATGAATGCTAAAGTTAGTGGGCAGAAGAATGATGAGAAACAGGGTATTTGCAGTCTTAAAGAATCTCCCCTTCTCTCCCCAAGATTCTTATTAAGAACAAAGGGAAGAAGAGTAACTCTACAGTGAAGAAACTCGATGGACACCGTCTTCACCAAGTTCCCAATTAAGGAACATTCTGCAAAACACTGGTCAGTGCTCTTTAAAAGTGTCAAGTTCCAGAAAGACAAAGACTGAGGATCTGTCAAAGGACAACTAATGCATGCGGGACACTGAACAGGATCCTGGACCAGAAAAGGGACCCGAGAGGGACAACTGGCAGATTTTGAATAAGGTCTGTGGATGAGGGGGCAGGAACGTAGCGAGGTGGCTCCATGCCCATAGCTGTCCTCTGCTCATGTCGGACGGTCGCGTTTGGAGAAGCTCGGTGGAGGGTCTTCCTGGAAATGCGACTATTTTTCCAACTCTTTTCTAAGTCTAAAATTATTTCAAAATAAAATGTTGGAAGCTCCAGGGGAAAAAAAGACCTGGTTTGGAGAGAAGAGGAGCAAGATTGCAGATCATTGGGTGTGTAGGAAGAAAAGGGGAAGAAGTTACACTCTGCTTTGCATTGTTACCAAGTAAGATAAGAAGATACAGATACACGTAAAAATGCCCTAATACTTAAGGAAGACGAGCTTATAACCACCCCTGAACACTCTGTGTGTCTCTGCCCATAACACCCACTTATTTGTACCCAGTGGAATTGATTCTACACGTCAAGGCAGAGTTGTATGATTGGGCACCACCTCAATCCTGAATTTCCAGAAGGGAGCAGGGGAAATTCTGCCAGGATTATGAGTTTATATGAACATATTCATCTTGAATATATACACGATATGCAAATGCCTATCTTGATTTCATTATCCGAAATGAGAATCTCTTGTGAATATTTTAGGAAAAACACTAGAATTAGCTAGTGTTTATTTTGTGCCTGTCCCAGAGCCTATTGTCACAGACACTGTCATAATTTACTGGGGACATAACACAAAGATCCCAGTTATAGCCATCACTGAGTGAGCCCCTACCTGGGTCAGGTGCCAAATGCCACCCCTCCATGAACCCTGTGCCCATCATTTAGATGTGGACGCTGAGCTCCTGGGAAATTAACAGTCCTGCTCAAGATCCCCTGGTGCGAGGATGAGGCAAAGGCATCTGAGGGTCACCGCCCCGGGCCTCTCAGCCAGTAAGTGGCAGAGCCGGACTGAGACGTGAAGCTAGGCTTCTAACCACAGTTGCAGGTACTCTGTTCTCTACTCTCTCCATAACCAGCAGAAGGAGGGCCGCTCGGGGAGTGCTTCCAGTTTTGTCCAAGTCAGTGTGTTCGTTTGAGACAGCAACGTAACATGTTTGTATATTATAGAGACTGGGCCCTCAAGCCCCTTATTTTGTATTTTAGCCACTCTTTTTCCGTAGAGGTACTGGGGATTGAAACCACGACCTCACGCATGCTAAGCACGCTCTCTCCCACTGACCGATACCACCCCCTCCACCCCATTTTAGCCGCTCTCGTCAACACTTGGTATCACCAACTGTACAAGGTTTGCCCATCTTATGGCTGGAAACTCTCTGTCCCCATCAAGTTCATTTTCTCGAGTCATCCCCTTGCAAATGGTACTGAGCACGTCCATCCTCTCCCGTCACCTTCCTGTCCACGGCCTTTGTCATGTTTTCTCTGTCGGGTTCTCTTTTACTTACTCACTCGAAAGAGTCCTTTATGCACCCTGGATGTTAATAATTTGAAAAAGTAGGTGGCAAAGTTTTTGCCCAGTATCCTGCTTGTCTTTAAGTTTGCTATTTGGTGACTTTTACTGTTCTTACTATCACTGGTGTTTGGAATTTGGAGCTGTCACACCTCTTTCTTTGACGGTATTTGGGTCTTCTGAATAAAGTCAAATGTATTTTTCCATATTTTCTTCCACGACTGTCAGTTTTGTTAATCAATGGGGATCTATTTTTGTAATGGAAGCAGGGACTCTAACTTTACTTTTTCCCAGCTTGATAGTATATTTTCCTAGCCATATTGATTAAATTGTCCTTCGTCTTTCTTTTTCAGTTATATGTAAGATTTGAATCTTTTACAAATTTCCATGTATTATTTTTATAACAGCAATGACTGAAATACAATTACTTCAAAAGAATAAAATCATATATTGATGTCTCCCTCTCTCTCATGTCTCTCCGTGGCTCGCATAAAGCCAGCATAGTATGTGTTCAGTAAATATTTCTGAACTGAAGGCGTCAACTGTCTGTTTTCTCCAGACAGTCTTATGGGTGATATAATCTTTGTTAGCTGTGGTATCGTTACAGGCAGCTGGGGATAAGATCACATCATCAAAGATTTTGTGCTCTTACTGCCAGTTTTTCAGTTAGATTTTATAGAAACCCGTTCCATGGATATAAAGACAGAAAGATGGGGAACCAGGATTCTCTCTTTAACTAGTGAAATCAACACGCTGTCTGTAATCTTCAGATCCTCTTCAGCCCTTAAGTATCGATGGACGACTCATTTCACACATTTTTAACTACTCTTAAACGAAGCTACTCTGCAGCAATCCTGAATCTTCTCCCAAATAATTCAATGCGGATACAGAAATGAGAACAAGGAGTAGTCCTCAATAGACACTAGAGAAGCATTTCTCTTTCCTTCCTTTTAAACATATACATTTTAAGGAATTGCTTCCCTCCATCTCCCCACCGTACTGCACGGCTCTCACTCATTTTCTGACACACTTTATCCACTGCAGCATTTCCAATTTTCAGGTTGCCCTTAGTTACTGAAAATTCGGCAAAGCTGTACGTTTATTTTTTTTTTGTGGCGCCCATCTCATCCCCTTTCCTTGATCACTGTTGTGTTCAGCTTTCAAGAGGTACATTTAAATATAGGAGTAGAAACCATCTGTGAGGCTGTTAGTAATGAAAGGTAATCAATTAGAAATGGTTCCCTGCCCAGCAATTTTCAAGCACAGTCATCACCAAAAACCAATTACGCTGGCAGCGTTTGGTCATCACGAACGGCGCTGTCCAATTAGAAGTTACAGCATCTGCTGAGTCCTATGATTTATTTACAAGTGGCATTTAATATTGATTAAAAAAATCAAGGCTCATGGTATAAATTCCCACCATCCTTGGGAAAACGGTCCAGATTTTTAATAATTTCCCCTTTTGCTGGTTACTATAGTAATTATGAGCTAAATAAAGTAAAATTCTTTAGTAAAAAGCTAAATAAAATTTCAAATGATTTTATGTCTTGTGCCTCCTATGGTGCTGGATTAAGGTGTTGGGGGATTTCATTTTTGCAAACTGATATCTGGTCATCAGGACACTCTTTTTTTTTTGCCAATTTAAAATTTAATACACATCACTTAACTACACAAAAATAGGATCATGTATTATGGATTTTTTAAAAGTCCTCCACTAATGTCATTAAAAGTTACTAAGGCAATAATGATAATCAGCTTATCCAAATTAGCACAGTACTTAAAATAATACTCAGTTTTGGAGATGAGGAAAGTCAGCGTGGCCTTCCAGCATTGCTGACGAGGGGAAACCGGCCCCACCTTTGAAGACAGCAATTCGGCAACGCTTAGCAAGAGCCTTAAAAACGTTCATGAACTTTCACCCAGTAATTCAATTTCTGGGAATCTATCTGAAGGAAATAATCCTATAGATGGAAATTTATGCATTATGATAAATGCAGCATAATTTTTAATTATAAAAAAATGAAAAGAAACCCAAATGTCCACTAAGGGAGTAATGGTACGTAACTTACGTCGTTTTGGCAGAATGAAGAAATGCCATGTTAGGTTACAAAGAGGGGAAAATAAATTTCAAATTGTGTATATACCAACACACATTCCACAATGATGTAAAAACATACTAAGCAGAGCAAAAGACGGAAAAAAAAAAAAAAGGAGCAAAATGTTAGCAGCTGCTGCCTATGGATTTGGGACTTGATTTTAGGTAATTTTACTTTCCTGTATTATTTCGTATTTTCTACAAGCATGAATTTAATTTATATAATAGAAGTAACTATATTGCAATAGTTTTAAATTTAAAAAAAACTAAGATCACTATTTCCTTTTGGTGTGATGCAGAAATACACTATATTACCCCAGCACATTACCTGTTCAGAAGAGGTGCAGTCATGTTCTTCAAGAGATATTTTATTAAAAGAAACCATAAGCATGGAAGGTGAGTTCTAGATGGAATCTGGGAATAGATCTACTCTGTGACTGAATTTTTGGGGCAGAAACAAGGTTAGCTGCTGAAATGACTACTGCTCTAATCGGATAAATTCCTATTTCATCCTGAAGCTAGAATGTCAGAGAATAACAAAGAAACCCAGGAAAGCGATCAGTTCTTCCACGCTCACCTGTGGAAAGAGGTTCTGTGCAATTCACAAAATGCATTTTAAAGAGCACTTTTCAGTTGGTTGTCCAAGTATTTTTCGAGAAAATGAGATTAAAAAGTGCCTAAAGGCAAGTAGGTGGGTGGGAGGGAGAGACAGGTGCGGAGGCAGAGATTAGAAGAAGTAAAACAAGCAGTGAGTGCTCGTGGAACTTCGAAATTCCTAGGATTTTACACACTGAAATTAATACATCATTTATATTTAGAACATGGATACCGACAGAAATAAACCGGCAAAGCAGATGAGAATCTGGTGGATAAACTTAAAAGCTATTTTAAAAAATATTCATTTAATACTTGCTTGTTGTAAAAAGCCTAACAGAACAGAGGGGTATTCAAGTAATAAAAGCCTTCCTCTTTCCCACATCTGCTTCACTTACCAGGGACAGCCTCCATCAAAGTTATTTCACATCCTTGAAGACAATATTCACGCATACACCTTTTTTTAAAAACATCACTGGGGATTAAACTGTACAGAGTACTCTGCAGCTTAATTCCGCCCCCCACCCCACTTACTAACTGACCTTCAGCCACTTGCACGTCAACACACATGGGTCAGCCACACTTTGGTTCTTTTTAAAGTGACGTGTGGTCACGACTGGACGGCTGTAACGTCACCTGCCCAGACCTGTACTCACGGACGTTTGGCTGTATCCCGTTAACTGCTCTTGTGAACAGTGCCGCTCTGAACATCCTTGTACCTATTCATTTGCACACCTAGTCAGGTTAATTCCATGTGAGAAATTCCTGTAAGTCGAACTGCTGGGTCACAGGGAACTCAGATTTTAGTATTTTGGAAGATACCACTAAACTGGTCCCCTCCAAAAGTCTCCCTCTAACAGACCATGTGAACGCTCTTCCCCCCCTTATCTGGCTGTGGAATTAAGCTTTATTTATGGTGAAAAGGTGCTTTCTTCTCTTTTGGGTCCACTTATTTCTATTACATCTGTTTATTTTCAAAGTACAGGTGCTTCTTACTTGACCGAAGAGAAGAGGATAAAGGGGAAGGTGTGTGAAGGTTTGTCCTGGTTCAAGTAGGTGCATCAAAAATTACTATTAAGAAAGTAAATCTAATACATAAAATATGTGATTAACTCCAAAGTCACACATGACTGATTTGAGGATTAAGGAAATTCCTTAATTGAGAATTGTTGGCACTTATTAACTACTCTTTAAACATTTTGAATTACAATCAGCTAGTCTGATCTGGGGCTTAGCCCATGCCAGGCCCTGTTCTAGCTCTTTACGTAGATTAACTTTATTTAACCTTTATGACAACTCTGTGAAGTGGGTGCTATGATTATCTCCATTTTATAGGTTAAAAAAAATGAGGCATAGAAGGTCTTAAGTAGTATGACCAAGGTCATACAACTCATAAAATGACAGAGCCAGAATGCGAACCAGGTATTCGAACTGTAGCCTCTGGGCGCTCAACTACCATGCTAGCATATATTTAAAGTTCATCTTCGGGAAATAAGGATGTATTCCACAGCTCTCCACAAAGCTTTTCATCACTGCGTTGATGATGGAAAATTTCCTTTCTGCCTCTGGGCTGGAGGTGGCCCCCAAAGCAAGATGTTGCAATGACTGAATTATAGATTTTCAATTTTTCTTTTGCTTTCCTACATTTCCTCCAGTGACTGCATATTGCTTTTGTAATAAAACAAAGTTGCTTTGCAGTATTGACAGTTCTTAAGAGAACACTTTTGATACCAGAAAGTGGCTCATCTTTTTAAGTGTCTCAGTCACCATCGTACCGACAGTCACTCAGCATCAGGAGGGTTTCAGCCCATCAAACCACAAAACCACACAGACACCCCGACCTGCTTGTACCTGATGACTCTACTCCATCTGTAAAGTGGGGCCAGCATCATCGACACTGGAGAGTTGCTGTGTGGAGTAGAGATGTTTGTGAGGTTCGGAGCACCATTTGGCACTGGTAGCTCCTATAATGATTATTTCTGGCAGCTAATCCCAAAAGACAGCCATGATGACAAATTTTAAACCAAAACTTTTATAGATACAGGCACTGCTAATGGTGACTGCCTCCCAGAGGGGAAAATGGGGGACTAGGGTGGGGGAGAGACTTCACTGCCTTTCCTCTCATATTGCTGGATTAAAAAAAAAAACCAAAAAGACATATGTATGGAGTATTATTTTAAAAGAAATCATTTTAAGACCACAGAACTTTCTATAAATGACTTTCACATTTAGGAAGACCTTTTTAATTAAGCAAACATTTTGACATACGTCAATTTACTTGGAATCACTTAGATACATAAGGCACACTAGAATCTTCGATTACAACAGCTACACGGCTGAGGCTTTTGTACCTGAACTGCAATATATAAACCAGTATTTGGGAACAGCACGGGTCAGAAAAAATCCTATTCAAACATTCCGTTCACGTCAAAAACAATCTAAGAAATTCTGCAGAGAAGTTTAAAATTAAGTATCATTTAAGTTCTGACTGGCAGGGGATGTAAACGGACAGTTTGGGGGCTAAATCCAGCCAACTACCTGTTAGTTTATTTTTTTAACTGACATTTTTACCGAGGTAATTGTAGAGCCACGTGCGGTCATGGAAGCAACACTGAGATCCCCCGCATCCTTTGCCTGGTGTTCCTCGTGGTCACTCACCACCTGTTCTGTATAATCCACAAGCTAAGACTGGCTTGTAGATTTTTAAATGGTTGAGACAATTAAAGAAAAATAAATATTTTGTGGTGGAAAATCACATGAAATTCAAATTTCACTGTCCAGAAAGACTTACTGGAACACTGCTATGCACCTTCCTTTATGAGTCATCTCCGGCTGCCTTTGTGCTGTGAGGTCAGAGTTGAGCAGGTGCAAGAGGACCACATGGCCTGCAAAACCTAAAATATTTACTACCAGCTTCACAAAAATGTTTGCCGACCTTTGCGCTGGAGACTGGGCTAGGGTCAGGAGAGAAATGAGTATCTAGAATATTTTTCTTTTAAAGACAAAAAAAAAAAATTTCTAAATGCTGCCCGCACTGTTGATTCCCTCAGATGTGGATGTTAGAAATATCTTCTTGCAGCAAGGGACAAATGGACAATGGAAGGAGATACGTCAAGCTCTTTTCAAAATCCAGAGACGTCTATGTGTTTCGAAAGAACGACACACAAGACGTGAACTTCTCTTAAATATGAAGGGGTCATTGATCAAAAACTAAAAGAAATGAAGATAGATTGTTTCAAATCTACAAGTAACAACCAGTATGACTCAAATAACCATTTCCCTCCTAGGATGCTTAACATGAACACATGCAGATGACACTGGGCTACATACCAGAATAACAGCTCGTTTTCTCATGTGTTACTCCCCCAGCCTTGGACAAAATCCTTACCCTTAGCATCAGGCTGAAGCCAGTCTTTTGTGACCTTTCAAGAAATAGACGGCACATTGTGAGAGCACGTGAGTTTGTGCGACGCCTTGAGAATTTCAGAATTGTGTGACAAATGTACAGTGTCTGTTTTCTATACAGTCTCTCAAACTACCATGTGAGAACTAAGCCATCCTCAGAACCGTTTGTCACGAAAGGGCTGCACGTAGGTATTACAGACAGCCCTGTTTGGTGAATCCCTCCCCAGTTTTTTTTTCTTTTAGAGGGGGTAAAAAATTTCAGTGCTGGTGCTGATGGATCTAGTTATGATGGAAGCAACTGCAAATTCAAAATTTTACCGAGAAAGCCAGACCCCAGAAATTCCACTCACACCGGAGGTCTTAACACACGAGGCAAAGGGCCCACGGATGTAATTGAGAGGGTCCAGGGATTCGGATGGGAAAGAAGATGAATCTCATTTCACTGGCCTCTTACTGAAACTGAGCACGTGTCAGTCTGGGATGCAGGTACCAAACCACAGCAGCACTAACAGGACCAGTGATTCAGTCGACAAAAGAAATCAGTTACTTTTTCATGTAACAGCCTGGTTGTTGTAACTATCTTGCAATACCATTTATTATGCACATTTCTACTTCAAAATTCGAGTACCCTTGAACAACACAGGTTTGAACTGCACCGGTGTACTTACGCACACATTTTTTTTCCCCAACAGTAAATACTATACCACTACACTGTCGTGGTCGGTTGAATCCGCGGGCATGGAGGAACCTCGATATGGAAGGCCAGAGGCCGACTATAAATTATCCTCATATTAGCCCCCGCATTGTTTAAGATCTCTAGTTAGTGGATTTGCTGTTACAGCCTTTACTGTGATGCTAATAAAACTGCACATAATCCAAGAAGCATTTTGATAACCATTTCAATATAACTGTTTTCCTTGGCAAACCAATGCATTTTGCTTTATTCTTTTAACATCACTCAGAGAGGGGACTGATAGAGCCCGCTGGGTTCACAAAGGGGTTCAGGACTCAAAAAAAAAAAAAACAAACACGAAGAAAACTGGCTTTAATGTGGGTCTCCCAGGCAGGCGGTGTTGGGTATTTGAAGGAGCGCAGACGCGGGGTCTGATCCCGACCGGCTGCTGGACTGCAGGCCTCTTTACCTTCATTTTCTTCTCTATTAAAGCAGAGGGACCTGAAGGTGGGGCATAAGCAAGGTCCTCGCCACGTGTTCCCTGAGAGCGGCTGAGCACGGGCCATTCGCGCTCAGGGGAGTTCAAGTGCAGTTATCAGCAACCATCAGTATCGATGCAAAATAGACTGTAATTGTGTAACCTGCCCGTGCTGGGGGACGTAACCTGGGTCATTCCTGCCATACTTGCTCCCAGCATGCGGGCAGACAGCCTAGGGACATTTTCCGATCATCCAACAACACTCACATTCGAAATTTTTTTTCCAATCCAACTACAGGCCTCACCATCTGTGCAAAAGATCTTGTCCTTTTTTTTTTGCCGCAGCACTTAAAACTCAAAAGTTTCCATCCCTGATCCCCCAACCTCTGCCAGTGGAAGATGCCCTAGACTAAGGGGAGAGTCAGGCTGCAGATAACACACAGGCCCTGGAGTTCAGCACACCGGGATGGACCATCCTGTACCTGCGGCACCGAGCGAGTTAACTTTTCTGAAGCGCAGTTTCCCTCCTGAGGGTGAACGCAATGCCATTCGTTGTAAGGTTTGAACGGAATCGTGCAGGGAAATGCTTGAACTTCATGGTTCACGGTGCGTGTTCCATCCAGAGCCCTGGCTGGACCTCCCCAGCCAGGAGTCTTGGTGTCAAAGGTTGAGACCTTTTTTGTACCAGCAATGCAGACAGCTTCCTTCTTAGGCACGTTTTCTTGCCTTCACAGGATTGGCTACATAATTTACAGGACTTGATGCAAAATGAAAACACAGGACCCCTTGTTCAAAAAAAATTTAAGAATTCCAAGACGGCGACAGCAGAGCACGCACCAGAGTGTGGGGCCCTCCGTGACAGCACCGCCCACGAAGACGGCCCTGCTGCTTCACTGGAGCAGCCGGACCTGCCTGGTTACACCTTACCGTCACCTGCGGGACCTGAGAAAGTACCGATGCCCAGGCCCCTCCGCGCAGAGACGACTCCAAATACCTCCCAGGGGACGGCAGCATGGAGCCAGCTGAGACCCGCGGGACTAGAGGGACAGAAAACCTCGGAAGAACGCCGTGGCCAGTATCCAAGAGCAGGCAGAGGGAGCCCCGGGAAAGCCCCGATAAAGCAGAAATGTCTGTGTATAGAAATACCCCGGGCGTTCCGGACCTGTGCCAGGCGTTTCACAGAAAACGAGCCTTCGAGAGTCTGCGCCACTGCTCGGGGGCAGAGAACACTCAGAGCCCAGCATCCTTCCGGGCTTTAACTCCGCACGGGCTACTCCGGAGCCACGATTTCCCAGCACCCTTTGCACAGCAACGCCGCTGAGCGGCCAGGTGGCCGGGGGAGGAGAGCAGAAGTTTATGCGCAACTTTCCAGCCGTGCCAAGGGGAGGGAGGATGGCCTCCTCCCATCCTGGCTGGAGCTTAAGTTGCCACCTCCTTGGACCACATGAAGCTGCGGAGTAGGGGTGAGAAGGACAGAAACCACGGAGCCCAATGTCGTAAAGTCACAGTACAAGTTCTCAGTTACCCTCACCACCCCCAACAAAATAAACGAGAAAAGACACAGAGGAGCCAGTTTTTGTTTTGTGTTAAACCAGCTGATTTTATCATTAAGCCAAATGCCCCAAACGGCCCATTTTACAGACGAGCAAACCAAGAATCTGAGGTAAAATCTTCAGCCTGATGATGGTGCCCGAGGCAGGGCTACTGTCATCTCCTCCCTCCTCGACCCCATCACCTTTTAACAGGAGAAGGCTCCTTCTGGATTGTTCTCTCTTCACCCCACTGAGATCAGCTTATTACTCTAACGAAAGATTTGTTTTTTTATGGGAGACCCCGTCTAGCACTTTGGTTAAAATCGTGGGCTTTGGATCTACACTGCCTGGGGCTGAAACCCAACTCTGTTCTAGAAGTTGCTTCACCTTCGTGCTTCAGTTTCTGTATCTGAACAAGAGGCAGGGACTAGGGTGAGGTGGCTGAGGCCATCCTCTCTGGTGCAAATACAAAGTGGCGTCCAAAATCTCACTGATCAGGGTCAATATTTTAATGCAACTTTTCTGAAAACCAAACGAAAGGCAGCAAAATCCACTATGAACAAAAACATCAGAATCTCAAAGACAGGACCAAGTCTGCCCCTGTACAGCCCTGCCTTAATTCCCAGGCCAACTTCTAATAAAACTTTATTTACAAAAGCAAAGCAGCTGACCTGTGGGCCATACTTTGCCAATTAAAAAGATTGTGCTTTGTGCTTTAGAATATGTGATGACCGAGTTTTTGGTGACTAGGCCTCCTTAGTCTTGCCCCAGTTCCAGCTCTGGTTGGCACCTGGGAGAAGGAGGTGAGTTAACACAGGTCAAGTTCTTAGTACAGTGCGTGGCTCAGAGTAAGGACTCACATCACCATGGCAACAGGAATTGAGGCTCACCTTTTTCTTTAAAAAACTGAATGCGTGGACAAACACAAAATCTGTGTTGTACAGCTTTGGAAGGCAGAAAGAAACCCTGGGCGGAGGAGAGCAAGAGGATGCCACCTTGATTTCTGGACTCTCCGCTGCAGATTTTATAGCTGCACTCAGTGTGGATCAAAAGGACTCAGCCCGTCCCAGAGCGTAATCTGGAACTCATCTGTCTCTGGCATGAAGCTGTACCTTCCTCAAAGGGACCCCGGGAAGGTTGGCATTCTGAGTATTTCTCCCGTGTTTTTACCCATCACCCATTACCCTGCTGCTTGCACTCAAACAACCCAGCTCAGGAGTCAGCAAGAGAAGGCCCTCCAAATCGTGGCCTGTTTTTTGTAAATAAAGCTTTATTGCCACAACGCTGTACCCATTCACTTACCTGCTACCACGGCTGCTTCAGGGACGATGGCAGATTGAGTGATTGTGTTACAGAGGTGAACAGAGCTGAATGGTTTCGAGAGAGACTAAGGCCAGAAAAGCCCAAAATATTTACTAAGTGGCCCTTTACTGAAAAAGTTCGCCAACCCCCGGTTCCAGGTGAAGTCGAACTATAAACATATCCATTAATCAATTTCCCCTTTCAGATCCATATCAACCTTGCAAAACGGAGGTGGGTATAGAAACTTGGCCTCCCCAGCTCTGCACCCCATCAGCAGCCTCTGAGCCATTATGGCCGTTTCCCAGTTTTATTTGGCAATTAGCTGTGTATTTTAAGTCTCACCCTAGCAGGGTTAGCCAGGTTGCTCTCCCACTTCCTGAATTACTTTACAAAGTTTTGTTGGAACACAGACACGTGGATTCTTTTTCTCACCATCTGGCTGCTCTGGTGCAGTCACAAAAGAGACCTTCTGGCTCCACGATGCCTCAAATATTTACTATCTGGTCCAGAACTTTTTGCTGACCTCTGCCCTACGGGGCATCCACATTTACTAGATGATACCAGGGTGGACCCAAGACCCTAGACGCCCACACAGTTGTGAAAGTACGCTTTCCAAAAAGGCTATTTTTCCTCTTTGTCAAAAGAGCTACACCACCAGAAAGTACAAGAAATGTTTGTACGATTTTGATCTATGGGTTTCCACTAGAAAGGTCAACAGCCCTTCTGTTCCTAGAACAGAAACATTGATAGCTCATGACAAATGGCAGAAAGGTGACAACAGACTGTAAAATGCACCAGCATTCCCCAGCCAAACCCTTCCGAACAACCGAAAATAACTCCAACGCAAAGAAATGATTCTATCATGGGTCTCCGCCGTGAACTCCATCTTTCCCTCTTACAGCGAAGATTCAAAACTGTGTTATCACCCGCCTGATGCCACCCTTCCGTGGAATCCGATTTGTTCAAACACAACTTCTAAAGTAAGCTATATCTTCAGTGAAACAGCCCCCATATACAACCAGTAACAGAGCTGTTTTCACATCCTTTTCCCCAGTTTACCAAAAACAATGAACTCTATTCAATGTTTTAAAAGCAGGGATGTTTAGGCTGACAAGGGCACACGAGAATTTGTATTAAACAAAGGCTGTATTTGAAGAAAGGAACTTCGCGTAAACTGTCACTCCACAGCCTCTTAAGCTTTGGTCAAATAAAATGTCCATTTACAAGAAATTTGGGTTTTCACCTGCTTGTTAGTTCAGCAAACACCAAGCGCTTACGGTGATGAAAGACACTTGTCTCAGGCTTTCCCACACATCACACGTCCCAGAACTAAGTCCAGGACCCAGTGGGCCCCTCATCTCTTTTAGAAACACAAGCACAGAAATTTTGAATTTCACAACACACAATTACAGGCTGAGCTGGGGTTAGCTTGATCTTTGGTGCCACCTACAGATCAAACTGCGTTTCTCTTCACTGCAGCGCTAAGACACTGAGAAATCCCACGTGCATTTACAACGAAATTACTCAGGGGAAGGGGTGGGAGGTGGGTGGGGTGGCACTGGAGAACCCCACACCGTAACCTGTCTATGGGAGAACATAAAAATGGAGTGTCCCTCATTCTACAGATGAGTTTGCATTTTTATTGTAAGACAACAGACGGAAGGAATCACACAAAAATGTATAAGGCGAATTACTCTGATAAACCATCACCCAGGTTAAGAAATCGAAACTTTCTGGCTACCCCAGGCCCTCCACCTACCCCGCCATCACCTTCACCTTCTACAGATCAGTGTAGTTTCAGTTTTCCCATGTGGTCGGTCTAATGAGTTTCATAATTCCATCGGAGATGGATTAGTTTTAGAACTGGAATCCATTGTGAAGACGCTATCCCTATTGGATAGAGCAGTGCTCAATGGACCCACACCTCGGAGCCGAGTCAACCTGCTTGGATGATTCTTGGAGGGAAGACAGCCACGTGGAGAGGGGTCTCCGTGGCACCTGCCCTCATGCCACGGGGACTGCAGCCATCGCCTCTGCAGGCCTGTGAGGTTGGAGAAGGCATCTCCAGAGCTAGTGATGCAAGTCTGGCTTGATGGCCTGACCGCAGAGGGCTGGGCAGGGGCACCTGGACATCTGGACAGCTGACCACCCTCTTGGGCAGAACTAGAGGCACTGGCTGGGCTCCAGGGACGTCTCGAGCTGCCCGACGGAGACCAGGGTGCCCAGCTGCCCTGAGACACTGCTTTCGGGCGGGAAGGTGACCAAATCCGAGTTCTTGCTCTCATTGTGGTCACTGTGCTGCTTCTTGTGGCACCGCAGAGAGTCGTCCCTGACGAAGGAGGCGCCGCAGGTCTCGCAGCGGAAGGCCCTCTGGGTCACGATCTTGGCCACGTGCTGTGCGCTGCTCTCCCGGGGCCCTTCCCTGCCCGGCGGGGCCCGGTTCTCCGTTTTGGCCTCGTCCCTGTGCACCTTGTCGATGTGCTTGGCCAGGCTGCTGGGCCGCTTGGTGTCGAAGCTGCAGAAGTCGCACTTGAAGGGGCGGTCCTTGCAGTGGACCCGGCTGTGCACACGCAGGGCAGCCGCGCTGGAGCAGGAGTAGCTGCACTCGGGACACTTCTCGGGGTGGTCGGCCTGGTGCAGCCGGCTGTGCTCCAGGAGGTCAGCGCGGTCCCGGCCCTGAAAGGCGCAGTGCAGGCACTTGAAGGTGTGCTTGATGCGGATGTGCGACTTGAGGTTGGCCTTCATGGTGCAGCGGACGTCACAGAACTCGCACTTGAAAGGCTTCTCCCCCGAGTGCACGATCATGTGCCTTTTCAAGTCCGAGCTGATTTTGAACTTGGCGCTACAGAGCCAGCACTGGAAGGGGGTGTCCCCTAGCAACGGAAGGTGTGTTTCCATTAGAGCGGGCAGGCCAAACAGAACTCCCCCAAAACATGCGTCAGAACACCTGGCTGCGGAGATGGTTGGGTCTTTGAACTCCCATCACCTGTCGCCTCCTAAGGCCACCACTTACCGTGTACATTGATTCCTTAATCCTCACGATCCTATGAGGGGTACCATTACGTCCATTTCATAGATGGGGAACTGAGGCTCAGAGAGGTCCAGTTGTTTGACCATGGCCAAAGAGGAGAGATTTGAACCCAGGTATCATGGTATCTAAGTCCACACTCTTCATGAGGACACTATGGTTTCGAACCTAAACTCACTTCACTCAGCATCCCAAATTGGACGTGGAAGGAAGAGGTGTGACTTACATTACATACAACTCTTCCAAATCAAGCTAAGACTTATCGACACACTTTAGTGTTTAAGCTGTATTAATACCTCGGTGAACTGGCTTGTACTATTTAAGTTTCATAGTTTTACAATGACAGACTTTTATTTATAAAATTAACCCACAAATATGGCAGCAAAGACAAGTAATGAAACGCCACAGCCTCTGCATTCCCTGGAGACACCGTGAAGGGTTTAGCTCCTTTGGAGGCTGTTCCTTTAAACATCGTTGTCAGCCGTCCATGCGCAGAGATGAGATTCTTACTTACCCTACACGCCCATCCTTTCCCCGCTTTCTGTTGGTTGTGACCTTCATTCTTCTAGCATTACTTTCTAAGTGGAGTAATAAGCTCCACGTTGAGCCCATCAGCTTGAGAGGTTTGAGGACTCCTTCCTCTTGGTCACACTACCTCCCTCTGCTTGTCAGAGATAGCTGTACTGCACTGACTTGTGAATTCTCATGTTTAACCAGTTGTTTTTAAACTTTAGGATCAAACCCCAGGTAACTGACATTATGGCTGGGCATATGAATATTCACCAGAGCCAAATGCTGCCCTGGGATCACATCTTCTTCCTCACAGGGTCACTGTCACATCGGGGCCAGTTGACTGTGTTGCTAGTATCAAGGTCAGATTGATTTTTTTTAAAAAATTGAAGTATAGTTGACTTATAGTATTATCTTAGTTTCAGGTATGCAACAGTGATTCAATATTTGTAGAGATTATAAGCCCTTTAAAGTAATTATGAAGTAACGGTTATATTTCCCAGTCTTGTGCAGTACATCCTTGTTGCTTCTCTTATACACAGTAGTTTGTTTCTCTTAATCCCAGATCCCTATCTCGCCCCTTCCCTTGATTCTCATTTCTCGCATGCTCACTTGGGGTCACATTCTGTCTCGCTTCTTGACTTGTGCATTTAGGACAAAAAGAATCTCACCATAATGTCAAAAGCCATTGTGTCATTTAATGATGTAACATTTTACATGAAATTTCTTACGGATTTTGAGTTTCATTTATGGAATTTCCTCTTAACATTCTATGTATGTATTATTCTGTTACTTCTCTTTACTTTGATTATATTCAGCTATATTCAGATATTCACATCATTGAATATCTCATGCCAAATTTGGTTTTTTATTTGGCTAGAGCTGATCTTCTGCAACTTCCATCAGCCAGGTGGCTGGGAGTAACACCGAATTCTTGCATACCTTTGTCTAGTCTACTTTCGTACTTGAGATAGTTTGGATGGGTATAGAGGTCTATGTTCCAGATCATTTCTCAACTTTGAGGGCACTGTTCCACTATTTCCTAGAAGCCAATATTACCAACAAGTTTTTCTAAGTAATGGATCTCTCCAGCCGTTCATTCCCTTTGTCCTGTGCAGCATGTTGTGAGCCCCCTCATCTCTCATGTCTCTAAGAATTGCAAAACTTTTCTCATTTCCTCACTTCTATTTTTTCTTCCTAGATCTAGTCAGAAACCAGACTTCTATCTTCTTATTGTTAGTTTTCCAACTTTTTTTCCCCTTGTCCCTTGGAAGTTTCTTTTATCTTTAAAGCCAGTAACCCTACCTCTTTGCTCTCACTACCTTTTTTTCACAGAACTCTTCTTGGATACAACATTTCTGCCAGTGGGTAGATACCAATTAGAATGGATAAATTCTTGTAAGTACCCAGGTACTCTGTTATCTCCAGTATTTGTTATTTGTTAGATTTGGCACCTTTTATACCACTTATTTGCTGCAAGTGACTCATCATCCATAGCTGACACTTTGCCTTTAGGAAGAGTAGATTGGTTTAGGAATTAGACATAAGTGCAACCTGCTGATAGACAGTTTGGGTCATTTTGCCAATAGGTTTCAGCTTCTCCTCTGAACTCTGACCTTTGCAGCCTCCATGCCAGCTCCAAGTCCAGAACTCTCCAGGCGGCCAGACATTGTCTGCGAAGACTGACTCCCAACTCTATCGCTGCCTCCCATTTGTCTCCTGGGACACAGTTTTCTTTATTCACTTTTAGATGTCAGTGTATTCCTGTCTGTCTGCCATTTTTCATGAATTCATTGAAAATTCTCATTTTCTGAACCTCCTTATGAACCCTGTAATACCCATTTTTCTGTGCCATGATGGGTTGGCTCGTTCTATCTTACTATTGCAACAGGGTCTCACAAAGAAGACAAGGAAAAGCTTTTTTGCAAAGTCTAATCTCTAGAACTAGAAGCTTGTGCTCTGCATTTATGTTCAACTGATTTTGCTACATGTTTCTGAATTAAGCCATGCAATTAGAGTTTAAGTTAGATGACAGAAACACCTAGTTTATACATCAGGCTTTTATTGAGATTCATCCTTTGCTTCTTGACTGCTGAATTGGGTAATCATCCCCAGCTGTATTCTGCGCAGTCACGTTAGTAAACCCAGCTGTCAGACTTTCGTGTTTTACTAAAAGCTGTTGTCCCAGGGAAAGAAACCACAATCTTCACAATCACCAGAGAAGTTCCAAATTTCTTTACTGACACCATGAAGTCATTTAAGTTGTGTTTTAACTAAATGAGGGTTGAGACATCAGGGAACGAGTCAGGCACAGAGGTCTCGAGGTGTGGGACTTACCTGTGTGGGATCGGAGGTGGACGGTGAGCTGGCTGGAGTTGCGGCTGGCGTAGGGGCAGAGCTGGCATTTGTACGGCCGCTCGTCGGAGTGTATCCGCAGGTGCTTCTTGAGGCTGCTGCTGTCCACGGCAGCATAGTCACACAGGTGACACTTGTGGGGCTTCACACTGGTGTGGCACCGCATGTGCATGGTCAGGTTGTCCTTGCGACTGAAGCACTTATCACAGAACTCACACTTGTGTGGTTTGTCCCCTTCAAACACATAAGAGTCAAGGTGTTAAGGGTTTTCTCTATCAAGATGATGACAAAGAGATTTGACCAAGATGGTAGCCTGAACACATGGGTGGGTCTCCTTCTTTCTGTCCAAATGCCCAGAGACAGCAGGACACTATGAGGTCTAGATTAGTACACTGGGAAACAAAAAGGTGTGCTATTCATTGATGGCTCAGAACTTTTGAAGAATCTTAAGAAACAGAGACAAAAACTAGACTGAAGGAGAAACTCACAGGCCTAACCTCATTTGGGAAAACGAGAATGGTTACAGGAGTATCCAAGATCAGAGATGGCAGGCATAGGGGTCTTCTGACTCACTAGTTGATGAACCGCATTGAGAATGATCGCCAGAATATTTCCACCAAACTGTGTTCCATCCTTCCTCAATAACCACTCCAGACTGATCACATCCAGATAAAATTAATCTACCCAATAACCAAATGCTTGGGGAAAGTCAAAATCAGAAAGACATGCCCAACTCAAGAACCTGAAGTTGGAGAAAATAATTATTTCTGAATACTAAAGACAGACGTGGGTCTTAAGATGGCTTATCTAGAGGCAGGGTGGTATAATTTCAGAAGCCTAAGAGTGCTGAGATCTTAAAGCTTTCAGGAAAAAAAAAAAAGCCCTGATCAGCACAACTCCTTAGACAAAAGTGGATAATAGCAAGGAGACAATATCTGCAAAGTTCTGCAGAAATTATTTAAAGAGAATCCTATGCTTGAACGAGCACTCAGTGGGAAGAGAAAATACAGCTATCTGGCAAAGGACAAAATGCATCACATTTGAACTGTGTACATCAGAACAACAGAAAAAAATGGGAAGTGGACAAGATGTGGGGTATAGGTAATAAAATGGAAAGTTTTGCTTCCAAACCACAAGGGAGAATCCATCATCAAAAAAGAGAATACAGCAGAACACAAAATAAGGTAAAAATCAAACTAATGTCATTAAGTACAACAAACATAAATGGATTAAATCTCCCTATTAGACGTGTCAATTATATTTTAAAAAAAAAAGTCAGCTTATTGCTCTTAAGATACCTAAATAAAAATGATAGAGTAGAAAACAGGAAAATATTTGAGGAAAATGCTAAAAGAAATCAGAAATAGCAATGTTAGGCAAAACAAATCATGGTGAAAGCCACTCAAAATTTCATATTGAAGAGGCAGCTCACCAAGTAGATGTGAATCAGACTTTCATGAATCGAACCTGGTTTCACTAGAAGTTTTTCTAAGAGAGTGAGCCCTGAAAATTGTCAGACATATTTTAAAACAATTTTGTTCAAAAATCAAAACTCAGATTACCAACTCCCAGGAGATGCAGCGAGAGCTCTAGGTGTCAAAGCCTGCAGCCTAGTTACTTTTGAGAATAATGTTTGTGATCGTCAGTCCATTTTAAACAAATGGCTGAAAGCAAGGAAACCATACGCAACTCGTGAAACTAGAAGAAATGAAAATGCACAACACTTGATCAGTTAAAAAAAGATCATCGTTAAGAGGGAGGTTTGCTCAAAGAGAAGATACTAACAGGTCGGAGTTTTCAGTCTCGGCAGTAGGACCACTGGGGCCAGGTACTGTAGGACGTTTAGCAGCATCCCTGACTCCTTCCCGCAAGATGCCAGCAGCACCGCCCTCCCCAGTTCAAAGAGTCAAAAATATCTTCCGATATTACCCAAGGTCCTGGGGGAAAAGGAGGCAAACTTGCACTTGGCTAAGAACCATTTTAAGAGACAACTGGAAAAGAGACAGGACAACATGATTGACTGTCTAAGTAGACCTTTGCCCCAATTTAGAAGACTCAGTAAAATGGTGATGGTCTAAGAAGACATCGAATTACAAAGTCTGAATCAAGAAAGAGAAAACAGAACGATAACTTCGAAAAACTGTTATCAGTCATGGTGTGTCCTGAGGTGAACTGTTTATTGTTCAAATATCTGCTGTCCTTCCCAGGAGCATCACACTGCATGGTCTCAGCTGCAGGCTTGGACGTGTGACTGGCTCTGCCCAGTGGAATATGAGCACGACTGACAAGTCCCTGTTAGGCAAATGGTTTTAAGAGCCAGTTTCCGGTTGGCTACACTTGTTTCTCTTGCTCAAGAGGACCTGTAACATTGCAGATGAGGTTTTTTTGGTTTTTTAAAATAGTTTTTTTAACTGAGGTATTGTTGATTTACGGTATTATGTAAGTTTCAGGTATACAACATAGTGATTCACAATTTTTAAAGCTTATATATTCCACTTATAGTTATAAAATATTGGCTATATTCCCTCTGAAGATCAAGAGTTCTTAATTTGAGCCTCGTGGATAAAATTTAGGGGATCCAAGATCTTGTATGGGAATGGATTACATTTTTACCTCCAATACCTCTAACTGAAATTGAGTATTCCCTGCATCTGTAAATATAGTCGACAAACCACACTAACGGAACCCAAGACCCTCACCAATCGACAGGAGCCATGTTCAGACCACATTTTCCTTGCTGTAGTTCTCAAAGTATCATTCAAACTCATCACTCTTCACAATTAAGGTAGTTAGTAGACCAGCCACTGGATTCTAACATTAAATGCATCTGGGGGCGAGATGGCTCATTAAAATGCAGATTATTTTCCCCCAGCTTTGAGATATAGTTGACATATGATATTGTGTAAGTTTAAAGTATACGATGTGATGGTTTAATACATGTTCATCTTCAGAAACGATTACCAAAGTCAGGTCCGTTAACACCTCCATCACCTCAGATAAGTGTTCTTACTGCACTATGGAAATTAAGATCTACTCTAAGCAACTCTCAAGTACACAATACAGCACTGTTAACGACAGTCACCATGCTGCACATTACTTCCCCAGAACTCTCATAGCCGGAAGTTTGTTCCCTTCGACCAACATCTCCCCATTTCTCAAGCCGAACTCCCCAAAATAGTAAAATGCAGTTTTTGATTCAGTGGGTCTGGGTGGGGGACTGAGATTCTCTATTTCCAACAAGCTCCCAGTGGTGCTGACATGTCTGGTCTTCACCAGATTTCAGGTAAGCAAGGTTTAGTGTATTAAAACGCCACATACTGAACACTTTGATAGCAATTATACTTAAGTATGGTTTAATGTGAGTTTATTATATTTAAAAACATTGTTCTGGGAAAGGGCCATAAGCTTCACAAAATCACCAGGAGTCCACAGCAGAAAAAATGTCAAGAACGCCTTTATCTGATGTGTTCCAGACAAAGACAGCGCCACCCGCTGGGTCCTGGGGAGAAGACCACGGGGAGCAGAGCTGAGCCGGACTCTGCGGGACAGGGACAAGCAGCCTTCAGTGACCACTCAGACTGACACTGTAATCGCAGCCTAACCTACACCTCCTCCATCCTCTGAAAAAAGTCGTAAGCAGAGGATTGTGGGCACGTTCTACCCAATTTCCCAGGAGAAGTGTTTCCACGTTCAATTAGTTGTTTAATAGCAGAGGGGAAGAAAAAAAAAAGCCTCAACTCACTACACGATAGGTTAACCCAAGTGAAAAAAAAAGTGGGATAAAGACACAAACATTGTAAGTCAATTTTCTTTATGAGACTAAATACCAAAGAACCATCTTAATCGCAAAACATTTGAAATTCCACCATCATTCTTGATTAAAAACCTCAAACAAAACACACCTCAAAATCAACCTCAGAAGCCTTGAAGAAAAAAAAAAGTCCTTCACATGATAAATGATCCCTACAAAGCCTAAGGACTTGAACCATAAATGGTGGTTAAAAAAAAAAACAAAAACTAAGTATTCCATTAGAGTAACGAATAAGATATACAGATGGTTACTTTCACTGCTGTTTTTCAACTCCGACCAGAAGCACCAAGATCAGGGCTCTCCAGATATAGAATAAACAGGGATACAATAGTCCATCTGCGCGATCCAGAAGAACAGACTTGAACTCTCGGAATAAGACAGAAGGGGCCGGGGAGAACACACGAAATTCACCTGAAAACACTGTGCTCCTGTCAGCACTCTGTCCAGTTCCTGTGCGCCCCTCATTCACACATCCTTAACCCCAGTCTTCTCCCTCGAGATAACCACGTTCTCCAACTTGGCAGGTGGGGAAGAGGGTGTGCCGGTGATTAAAGTAAGTGCCCAGCGATATACGATGCTCTTCGATTCACTATCTTAATTTAGTACTTTTTAGCTAACCAGATGCGGAAGATACAGTATTTGTGTTTCTTTGCACTTTATTGGCTTGTGGGCTTTTCATTGGAATATTGGCACTTCTATTTCTTAACTGACTGATTGCTTGTTCAAACCCTTTTCCATTGGGGGTCATTTGATTTGTAGGCATCCTTGAGTGTTCTGAAGATTAACTCTGCCCCATGTTGCAAATTTTTCTCATGGGACACTTGTCTCAACTTCAGTGGTGTTTTATAAGTTAAAACTTTAGTCATATTTAACGTCTTCTTTGTGGTCTTTGTTAATTGTTTTTGCCTGTCTACTTATACTGTACGTTTGTCATCCGATATTTCCTAGTAAGGAATGGACTTTAACATTTAACTTATTTGGAATTTGAATGTAAGGTGAGGGACTACTGACTGTCACTTGTCCCGGCACCATGCAAACTTCACCCACTCCTCCTCCAACCAAGGCTGGGTAAGAGCCATTCAGAGTGGAAAACAGACCAAGGGATTTTAATTTAACAGTTTGAAAAACTCATGGATGTGACTTGACTGCAAATTCTATACAGCAACTAGTCTTTAAGAAACTATCATTTGCTGTGTTTTGGTATAGTATTAAAGAAATACAATTATCTGAAAAGGCTATCAAAATACTCCTCCATTACATTATGTGAGACGCCAGATTTTCCTCCGATACTTCAACCAAAGCAACACAGGGCAGTGGACTGAACACAGGGACAGAGGCATGAGAATCCAGCCAACTATTAAACAAGACAGGTTTGCAAATGTGCACACAGTGTTACTGGTCATTTTGTTTTGGAAAATACTTACTTTCCATAGATGTGTTTATATAGAATGGCCTTAGTGCTATTTTAAAATCAATAAATATTTTTAAATCAATAACTATTTTAAAGTTTTGGTTTTTAACTTCAAGTGCAATTAACTGTAGATAAAAAACTCTCTGGGGATCTTCAGTTTTGAAGCGTAAAGGATCTCAAAACAGTGGTTTGAGAACTACTGTACTCATTCGGCGGAGGTGAAGCTTCAGTGATCACTTACACATACCACCATCCCTGCCTCCCACTTACAGCGGGCCCACAGGTGCCACTGGCCCTATGTATCAGTTCTTTTTCTCATTATAGAATCTTCTCTTCATAGCTGGGCACTTGCCACAGATTCAAGACTTCAAGCTCCTGGCCTTCTTTTCCACAGTGAGCACTGGCCATACGACTAAGTTCTGGCCCAATGGGCATCACCTAACTCAAGTGAGATAACATCTAGGCTGTGCTGTTAAAGAGGAAGCCATCTCAGACCATGCTAGTGAGAGCTACACCCTTGGGATGTCAAACCAACAAAATACGAGCCTGAGTCCCTGAAACCACGAGGCTGGCCACATACTTAACTTGGACGTCACGGGACAGAAGTCCTTTGGTTTTCTGTCCTTTGGCTTTTACTCATTATTCTTCTTGTCACAAGGGATCCTACTTCTGGGTCATGCCCAGACGGGGAGATGCTGTGAGGCTCCCAGGTCCCACTCCTACTTTCTACCATTCAAGAGGTTCAAAGTACTAGCAAGAGCAGTTGCCTTGAAACCTGGAACCAGAGAAGTAGCCTAAGTGTTCCTCTGCCAGAGGGGCAACGGGTCTGCCTACATTGCGTTCCTGACTCAGGGAACCCACCAAGGACAGAGCCTTGCTCTATGCTTTCTGTGTCCCCATCATGCTCTGTATTATCCTCAATAAAACATTATTAATCCAGCTGCTGCCTCGCGAGGTCCACCTGGCACTGCTGACATCAGGTGCCGACAGTTCTTTGTGGGACCTGTCCTGAGCATTGAGGGATGTTGGCAGCACCTTTGGGCCCCACCCACTAGATGGCAGTAGCACTGCCCCAACTGAGAAGGACCGCTCAGTTATCACCAGGGCAGTCACCCACTTCGAAGTTGCCTAAAAGTGCCACGTTGGTGGGGGTCTCATCTTTGTTCAAATGGTTCCCGCAGTCTGCACACTCTTTCCAACATCATCCTGGCAGCCTTGTCTTTCAACATTCCCTTTGCTAAGAAGCATTTCATGCTCCCAGCCAAAGCTGACCCTTCGTTCTCTATTTCCAGAGCACAATGCCCATTTCCAGCAGAGACGACTAACTGTGCAGAGGCAGTCCTCTTAATGAGGCCCCAGGATTTTAGCTGGGCATGAGGCTGCCCTTCTTAAAAACCACCTTCCAGCCCCCCGATGCTTGATGCGGCCACAGCTAAGTTCTGCACAAATCCCCCAGTCACAGGGGATGCTGCTTCTGGGGCACGGCCCGAAGGAGGGACGCCGTGAGCCCCTCCTCCTGCTGGTTTTCCACCCGTGGAGACCTGGAGTGCCAGCGCAGCTGCCCTGGACCAGGGGATGAGGCCGTGTGTGAAGGGGACAGCTCCTCTACCAGCTGTGGACTCTTCACTTCTTAAATCGGACTTAGGACACTGGATTATGTTTAAGTCACTTGGTCGGGTTTCTGTAAGAGCAAAGAGATCAGTATCCTAACCCATCTAGGTCCACACTAATGACAAAAGGTTGGCAAAGTTTTTATAAAAAGGCCGGACAGTAAATCTTAAGCTCTGTGCACCATGCAGCCTCCAGCAATTACTCCATAATGCCACTTTTCATAATAATTGTTAATATATAATGGGATTACTGTCATATATTTGTAACAGGCTGGATTTGGCCCCTGGGCCGCAGTGTGCAGATCCCGGTTCTAGATCATGCATCCCTTTGCTCCAGCACATCTTATTTCTTTGTCTTCTCAGTAGCCGGTTGCTCTGGAGAAAGGCACCTTTAAGGAGCAGCCTTATTGCTCTTATGGTATTAAGATTACTACACCAGGCCTGTGTATGGCAGCCCCCCACCTCTGCCAACCTCCCCAACTTCATCTCACCCGTTCTGCTCCTTCAAGCCTTTGCCCTGCTGTTCCCTCTGCCTTGAACTCTTCCTGCCCCTTGTCAGGTGACTCAGCCATCTTCCACACTTTAAGAGCGTCTTCCGAACAGCCTCTCATGACCCGCCTGGACCAAACGCCCTTCCCACAGTCCCAGCACTTTCCCCTTGGCCTCTCAGTTACCATTTTCGCCTCTGTGACTTTTTAGGTCACAGCCCACCCCACTAGACTAAGTTTCACGAGGCAGAGACCGTTTCTGTCCTGCTCACCGCTCTCTGTCCAGCACTTCACTCATATCCATTTCCTGAGGGTTTTGGGTTTTTTAAACATTACAGTTTTGAACAAATGAATGGGTACCTACCCGTGTGGATTCGTAGATGGCGGTCTAAATCTTTCATGCCGTGAACAGTTTTGAAATGGCAACCTAGAAGAGAGAAACAGGTTCTCTTTACATAACCTCAAAAAGGAAGCTACCGTGAATCTGAAATTCTGGAGTCACACACTGAGCTCTGATGCCCAGGACACGCAGCTCCCCGGAGAGGGCTCCTGTGCAGTGACTGGCTGGGACAACGCCAGGAGTCTGCGAGCGAATGGATGCAGCAAACTGAGCTCGCGCAGCCGCCCAGATGGGGCTCAGCACGTTCAAGGTTCTTCTTTACCTGGATAGCAACAGTTGAACGTCCTCTCCCCAAGGGTGGCTGTTTGTTCCTTTGACTCTGAAGGAAGAGCAGTTACAGGGGCTTTCTGGACGTCACCGCTGTCGGTGGAGGGACAAGGTGGCTTTGGAACCTCGTTATCTAGTTCTGCAGCTGAAATTTGAGACACAAAGTGTTACTTCATTTCTCAAATACAAGCACCATGGTACGTCTTATAATACAGCAGGTTTGGGCTCACTTCACCTACCTACCCACCCCCTCCAAAACCATTTAAAATTAAAAGCCATGTGTACTCTGGTCTTGAAGAATTCTTCTTCTAAATACCAATTTCCAGGGAAGTGCAGGGGACAAAGGAACATGCTAACATGACAGGTATACAAACGGCAAAGATCCAGGCAGCAAAACTCGGCAACAGCGCTTCTCAAAAAACGTAAGGAAGGCTTAGTTCCTTAAATAATTTCCGATCCATCACTGGCCAATATTTGTATAAAATAAACACTAATTACGAGAAAAGTGAAATAAGACAATAGAAGCCCAAACGTTATTTAGAGATGACAGAGAGCTGGATGCCGAGCTATTTTTAAGTGCTTACTCTCCATTTCTGAACTTATTTTGTCTCAACTCAGTGACAGGTCAGAGGCCACATGTCAAGCACCACTGCTCTGCAGAAAAAAATGCCATTGTTTCAGCTTGACAGATGGAGGGAAAAATCAGACTAAAAGACTTGAGATGATAGTCTGCAACATCAAGACCTTTTTTGGATCCTGATTTAAACCTATTGGAAAAGCCATTTAAGACTGTGGGACACATGAACACTAACTGAAAGTTTGATAAGGGCTTTTAAGATGTGAAGATGAAATTAAAGTTTTTAACAGCATTCTCGTCGTTTAGGGCTGGGCATTTATAAATTCTGTGTGTCTGATGTGCTTCAAAATAACCCAGTGGAATGGCTGTACAGAAGACTGGCCACCTGTACTTAGCTGAAGCTGAGCACCTGGTACGTGAAGTCCATTGTCTCATTCTCTACCGTTATTAAGGATGAACCATGTGAAACTGTCTTTTTTGGGGCCAGAATGGTCAGGTAACTCACATGGTTCAGTCTAATACGTAGTTTTAAAAGTTTCTATAACAAAGACAAAATACTCGTAAAAGATTGTAAAATGATTTCTCTCCAAACAGATTTAAGACCAGGGTAAAGAGAGGTGCTGTCAATGCCTTACGCCTTAAAAGAAAACTATATTGACCAGTTTATGAATTATAGGCCGAGGTCAGGGACTCTCGGCTCCAGATACAGAGGTGGGTTCTCTTTTCCTTGAGAGGTTTGTCCAGGTAAACCTTCTTACCATGAGAAGGTGTACAACACACTGGTGAGCGCTCTTAGGCACAGGGCTTGCTTAGCTATATGCTAGCTGTTAACTACTGGCAACTTAACCTTTCTGAGCCTCAGTTTACTTGTCTGTAAAAAGGGATCACTAACTCCCTCAGAGTTAAGAGATGTACAATGTAAATTCTCGGTATAGTGCCTGGCCTCTGTCAAGTAAATGTCATCACAGGGCTTCACTTAAAGGATGCAGCTTTCTCATCCAAGTAGCTGTGATGCCTAAAGCCCCTTAACAGGGTCTGAACAAGTGGCCTAGTCCTGTGGCTCTCAACTGGGGGCCATCCTGCAATGCCTGAGGATACCTAATTGTCACGACCATGTGCACACGTGTTTATGATGGTGGCATCTAGTGGGTAGAGGCCAGGGATGTTGCTAATCACCCAGTGATGCACAGGACAGCCCTGACACCTATGCCAGAATCACTTGAATTGTTGGTTAAATCTACTTTCAGAAGCCTCAACTGGGGATGAGGGTGGTTAAGGGCAGACCCCAGGAACCTGCATTTTTAAAGCACTCCCAAGTTATATGCTCAAACTACCCTCTAAGCCTTGGCTACGCGAAGGGTGGTCCCCAGAGCGCTGACATCAGCATAACCAGAGAGTTAGTTAGAAATGCAGAACCTCAGGTCCCAGACTTCCAGAACCAATCTGCACTTTAACGAGATCCCCAGGTGATTCCCATGCACATTAAAACTGGAGTACACCACAACCCCAAGCCAGTGCTTCTCAAACACCTGTGCATCAGAATCACCTGGAGGGCTTGTTAAGGTATGGCAGCTCGGGGTCCACCTCTGCAGCTCCCGATTCAGTATGTCTGGAGTGGAGCTGACAAGTTTTTCATTTCTAACAAGTTCCCAGCTGATGCTTTTAGTCTGGGGACCACACTTTTGAGAATTCCTGCCTTGTGAGAAGGGAAACTGGCTCAGAGGAAATGCTGCTCAAGACTGCAGGGCTACAAGCTTTCAGCTCATTTGAACTCACGCTTCCCAGACCTACAGTCCAGCTTATGTCCCTCAGAGGAAGACACAAAATCTTGCATTGTTTAGCAATTCACTTGTTAAAAAGAAAGTCATTAAACTCTTGAGAGTTTTCAATCCCACAGAAACCACATAAGACTGAATAGCTGGAATCTCAGTGAGAGGTTGTAAAGCACAAAGGTTTAGGAAACTGACCAGGAAGCTAGTTGGTAAGTTTCAAATTCCAATTCTATCTTTTTATTAGCTGTGTGACCCCAGATAAGTTACTCAACTTCCCTGTTCCTCAGTTTCCACGTTTGTAAAATAGAGATTATAGCCCCTATCTCACAGGTTTAGGTGAAGATTAAATTCTTCTACTTACAGACCTTACACATAAAGTAAGAGGACCTTATACAGTAGCCAGGACTGTATAAATGTTAATGGTTTTATTCACCGACGTGTACACATGTGAGCCACCAGATTCTCAGGGAGAGGGAAACACATTGTGCAACGCACACTTGAAGATGGGAGACTGATGAGTTAAAGCTATCAGAAACCTGTGCCCAAGGCCATAAAGGGTCACCCATGCAGAATCCAGAGAGGCATGAGGGGCCTCCAGAGGCGACTTCCTTCACCTTTAAGCATCCGGGAAAGCAAGGAAGGTCGGAAGCACAGTCTCCTGAGACAGGTACAGCTGGGGCAGAGGCCCCTCTGGTCTGAAGGAAGGGGTGGGCCACATTTGACAGTCTGAACTCAGTTTACCACAGTGGCCATTTTAACCCTTTGAGAAACTGTCTTGAGGCAGTTCCTCCACAAGCTTGTTTTCCTGCCCCTCTTATTTTCCCACTGGTGGTGACTGTCTATCAACTGACCCGCTCCATTGTATTTCTTCCAAAAGCTACAGGAGTTGCAAAGTGAGTTAAGAGTGGCTCAACCTTAAAAAAAAAAAAAAAGAAAAGAAAAAAGTCGGGCCTCTTGCTCAGCCTCCTAACAGACCTAACACGCCTGGAGGGGGCCCATCAGTTGGAAGGCCTCTCTTCTCCTCCGTGGTGGCTGCTGTCGGGGTGCGCCGGCACCCTTAGTGCTGCTCTGTACAAAACACCCTCCCCAGCCCTTCCAGACACAAGGGCAAGGCTCCAGGAGGTGCCCTCCAAGTGTTGTTTGCCGGAATGAAAAGTAGCCCATGACACTCATTTTGAACAGCCTGGGTTTATTCAGGGAGGATTCAACCTCCTCAGTAACTCCCCAATTCTTTTACAGGGGATCAGCAAGCGCCCTGCCCCCAACCCAGGAAGACCCTCCCGCTCCACCTACCTGTCCCCGTCCTAGGCCTTGAACACAAAGGCAGTTACGGCATTTTGGTTATGGTAGCCAAGCTTTAGTTTTAAACACAAACCATCAGTGTAGGAGTGGCTGCGTTAAGTAAGCTTCGCTCCTCCACTGCCTCCTTGGGAGCGTGTGGTCATCAAAGCCCACCAGACAGGCTGCGCTGCTGGAGGTAGGATCTTTCTGGCGGAAGAGACTAGATGCCTCCCCCCACCCTCTTGCTAAGCAAAAGGCAGCAGCTAACCTGGGCGGGAGGGCAGGTGGAGAGCAGAGAGATGGTCAAGCAGAAACCTACACAGTCTTATCTGAGTGCAAGATCACCAGAAAGGGAAGCGCCTGAGAAATGCAGATTCCCCGACTCCGCCCCCACCCCTGAGATTCCAACGCGTGAGGAGGGGGAGAGGAGCCTGAGGGTAGATCGAGGAATTCAGCGAATTCTCGAAGCTTCCTACCTGAAGGCTCTTCAGAAGCAGAGCTCGCAGGCCCACGGGGTAAGAAATAGTGCTCCGGGGGCTTAGAGCAGTCTAGGGACCCCCCCCCCCCGCCCCAGCCTCGGGCATCCGGGGAGAGCCCGCGAAATCCCGCCGCGGCACTGCCCTGCTCACTCCCCGACCCCCCCATGGCTCCTCTTCACTTAAGAGTCAAAGACCTTATTGGATCCCGGGCCCGCATCACTTGTCAGACCTCAGTCAGTCCCGCTCCAGGCTCCAGCCTGGCTGACGCCCTAGGCCTCCGCACTTGCTGTTCCCTCTGCCTTGGAACGCTCTCCCCTCCGCCATCTCCAGGGCTCGCTCCCTTAACAACCTGCAGATTTTTACTCGACGGTGCCTTCCTTCGAGGCGGTCTCTGGATAATCTCCCCCCATCTAACTCCCTTCCCAACTTTATGTTTTCCCCAGCGCTCACCCCTAACACACTTCACGCTCCACCGCTTTATCTCGTGTGCCATCTAGCTCGTCCCCACTGGGCCATAAGCTCCAAGGACCGGAATTTTGTCCTCCTTGTTCATTGCTATGTCTCTCTCCAGCACCCGGTCCCGGGGTCCTGGCAGAAACTCAGACATTTTCCAGATATTCCCTCTCCATCCCGCGGAAAGACGCCCGGGGCCCGGGTCTCAGAACGCCCACCTTCCAGGCGCACAGACCCAGCCCGGAGCCAAGGAGGTCGGGGACCCGGGTGCCGGCGCACCCCGAAGACAGCCTCGGAAGGTCTCAGAGCATCCTTCCAACGCGTTCGGGAGACGAACCTTCATTGAATAGCTTTTAGGGGGAGTGGCAGCAGGAATCCACGCAGGGAGCGACGTAATTTACCCAAGGAGGGTGAATTTACAAGGAGAGGGTGTGTAATTTACAAAGGCGGGGGGTAGCGAGGTCGGAGCCCCAGAACTCGAGTTGGAAGCTGCACCCACCCTTCCACGCCCGGTGGCGGGGGCCTCGCACCGGCGCGGGTCTGGGGAACGACCGAGAAACTGCCTCCAGCCCTGGGTCGGGCGTCCGCAGCGCTACTCACCCGGCTCCCCCACCACCTCCGGGGCCGCCTCGGCGAACTCCTGGCGTTCAGGCTGCGGCTCCTCGGAGCTGAAGTGCTGGGGATTGGCCTGCTTGCGCCGCGACATGGCGTGAGGATCCGGGCTCCGGCGCGTCCCTACGAGTGGCCGGCCGGCCTCACACAACCAATTCCCGGAGTTCGGAAATTACACCCCCCACCACCCCGCCTCGGCCAGAGCGCGCATGTCCCGGCAATTCGGCTCTTCAGCGGAGCAGGGCGATTTATCAGGCGCCCTGACGGCCGATTGGACCAGAGCCAAGGCCTCAGGACTCCAGGGGAAGCGTGGTCCGCACCCGGGCAGCCCGCACCACCTGGGAGCTTGTTAGAAATGCAGACTCTCGGGCTCCACCCTAGCCCCGCTGAATCAGAATCTGCATTTTAACAAGCTCCCCAGGTGATTCGCATGCACATTAAAGTTTGAGAAACCGTGTCTGCATTTTAACGAGATCCCCAGGTGATTCGTTTGCCCATTAAAATTTTAGAAGCACTGCTCTCCTCCAACTTTAATGTGCGCACGAATCACTGGGGATCTCGTTAAAATGCAGATTCTGCCTCAGTGGGTCTGGGGTGGGGCCTGAGCGTCTGTATTTCTAACGAGCTCCCAGGTGGTGCCGTCGCGGCGGCTGCTGCGCGGGCTGCGCTTTTAGATTCTGACTTAATTGATCTGGACTGAAACTTTGGCACTGGGATATATATATTTTAAAAAGCTCTCCAGGTTATTCTGATGTGCAGCCAAGGTTGAGAAGCACGACTTCCACTCGTGGCTGCATATTCGAATTTAAAATTTAAATGAGACTAGAGTGTCTCCAATTGCAGAGTGAACCACTGGTCCTGGAAGAGCTGGTTAAAAATGCAGATTCCGAAAGTTCTGGCTTCAGGCGGCGGGGCCCAGGAATCTGTACTGCTAAGCAGCGTCTCCCTCGCGCTCCCCCCCGCCCAGCCGCGCCGCGGCTCCGGGATTCTGGCGCCCGGGGTCTGAGACCACACAGATGAAGCCTCGGGGCCAACAGGGGCGAGGGCCCCGCCCAGCAGGTGACTGAGGCGTGGTCCTCCGGGGGTTGAGCTAATTGGCGTTCGTGCTCAGACTGGCTGGGCTCTTGATGAGACCCGAGGGGGACCCCTCCTTGCACCAGGTAAACGACAACCAACAGAGAGCAAGAAAGCCACCTACATGCCCCAGGTGTTTACTTTCTTCAAGTTGGGGAGTTACTTAAGGCAAGGCTGTGTGCCCCAAGCTTGCCCGAACCTGAGAATCACGTGTGGGCCTTGGTTAAAACAGACCCAGGTTCAGCTCTGACCCCGTGGGGTGGGGCCTGGGAATCCGTATTTCTGACAGCGCCTCGGGTGAGTTTTTCGCTGTGGCTTGCTCGGGCCCTTTGGGGTTTCGCAGCGTCCTGTAATTCGCCTTCTGTGAGGTTCCCGTTGACAAACCCTAGGGGACTGCCTGCGAGATGAGCATTTTTATATTTCTCAAAAACAGAGCTATTATCCTCAAACTGCCCGTTGATTTTCAAGTTGTGAATTGATGGTAGTGATGTTTGTGTAATGCCAGGTGAAGTTACTCGAGGTTAAATTTTTCGAGGCGAATTTTTTTTAAAGCAACTTTTATAGTTTTCTCTGGGGAGGGGGTGTGTAGCTACACATATACGTAAAGCCATTTCAACACATACATGTGTGCTTGTGTTTACCTGTGTCCTTTTGGAATGTTTCAGAAGGATACTGGGTCATCAGGGGACAGTAGTTGCCTCTGGGGAAGTTAAAAGAGGAAATGCACCCAGCCAAGAGGTTGGGCGACATCTGATACCCCTTTTTCCTACTTGAGGTGTGTATCTGGGTTTGTTTTTGCCGCCTCTGTAGCTCATTTCTTCAGCTTGGGTGTACACAATGGGATTAATCAATGTTTGGTGCAAGACCCCTTTGTCATCACTGATCCACCCCTCGCCTGTATGTGGTTACTTGTTTGTTCCTTGGTTTGCTACGACATAGTACCAGGAAGCCCACTGCCCCAAGCTAGGACCTTAACTAGAACCTGCATTTCTCATATGTCCTTCTTTATTTCTCCCCAATTTAATAGCGATCAACCTAAACCCTTCATACTTCATTCCTTTGGTGCTTCTTATAAGCAAAGTTGGGTTTTTTTGTGCACTTACATGTATTCCTAAAAAAATAGCAGTTTTATTTTTTTCAAATGAAGGTACTGGAGAGTGAACCCAGGACCTCATGCATGCTAAGCATGCATTTTACCACTGAGCTATATACCCTTTCTCCTCAACAATTTTAATTTTTAAAGAACTTCATAGAAAAGATATGTAATCTTCCAGGAATTGCTCCCCTCACCCCATTTATCATATTGCTAAGATCATCCAGATTGTCACGGTTCACACATCTTGACTGATGTGTAATATTCCATGGTGTGAAAATACCAGTGTATTCATCTGCCCTCCTGTTGATGGGCACTTGGGTGGTTTCCCAGTCTTTGCTATGTGCATAGTGCAGCTATGATCTATGACCTCTGTAGCAAGTGTCAGCTTCTTAAATGAATGTATACACTGGTTGGATTATATGTGACTGTGTAAGAAATAATACAAAAGAAAAGAAGAGGAGAAATAATGCTACAGTGGAGGCACCAATTTTCACTTCCCCCAGCAAGGTCAGAGGTGCCACGGAGCCACGACCTTTCCCAAACTGGGTATTATCAGCTGTCTTAACTCTTGCCAATCAAACTGACAATACAATGATATTTCACCATGCTCTAGATTTGCATTTTCCCTGCATGTATTATTTCAAAAAAAAAACCCAAAATGAAAATGATCAATGTTTTCCACAAATATAATGACAGCAGCTGATTAAAACTTGATTCCTTTTTTGAAGGCATTATGTTAATATTTTACAATACAGCCATTCGAAGTTATGGTCCTAAATTAAGTTTATTACCATGTTTGGTTTTAATGGCTTGATTTTAAGGGTCGTAACTGAAAAACTGAAGGAAGAAACCCTCACAGGGTATGTAGATCTAAATGAAAGCAAAATATCTGCGTAGTCAGTCAGGAGTCTCCCTTTTTAGCCCCGCCCACCATTTATACACACTGACTGTTCATTGTCTTTGAAATCCAGCTTGGAAATGTTCATCATGAGAGCCCCTGCTACTCAACCTGGGGCTTTGGCAAATTAAACTGAAGAGGGTGCATTACTGTATTTTTAACAAGTGGATTTCAAACCCACTGAAGCTCTTTATTTGGAAGATGTTTAAACAGATGAGGAAATTCTGTTTTAAGTTTAAACACGTGGATAGAGATTTTTATAGGTGACAATTTTTCATTATTTTCAGCAACAAAATCACCTAACAAGGGAATCAACTAGACATGCATTTCAAAGTACTCCATAGGCTGTTTCTCTTGGAAACTAGTTACTTTCACCTTCTTTATATACATATCACCTTTATCCTGATTTATTTTTTAAATTTTATTTATTTATTATTATATTATCTTTTTGGGGGGAGGAGGTAATTAGGTTTATTTTATTTCTAGAGGCAGTACTGGGGATTGAACCCAGGACCTCGTGCATGCTAAGCATGTGTTCTACCACTTGAGCTATACCCTCCCCCTTTATCCTGACTTATTTTTAATGGTTGTTAGGTTGGCCCCTTCCTTCACAGAGAAAGTTAGTAACTTCTCAACCCTTGTCATTTCGTAAAAGAAAAATGGAGAATATTTGTAATTTTGATAACATAAGTATTTTGCCAAGAGATAAAGTATTCCTTTGAGTTACATGGAAGATTCTCCTAGCTGCTCTACATCTCCTTACAAAGCATTACAAAGATTCCAGAGGCAGTAGGACGTAATTACTAAGCACACGGACTGGGACTGGCCTGGGTGAGAATCCGGGCTCTGTTTCCATTGACCTGGAGAAAGCTGCCCTGTGCCCCAGTTTTCTCATCAATAAAATGGCGATGCTAAGACAGCCAGGGTGGTTGGGAGGATGAATGAATTCGTATATGTAAAGTACACGGAGCAATGTCTACCACAGAGGCAATGCTCTGTGAATGTTAACAGTCACTAATAATAACAGGGTAAGAGTGGCAGTTATCTGTAATCGTAGCTAACACTCGTCTAGAATTGGTGGCTCCAATGAACTCGGCACAGATATTCTATTTTATGTGGAAATAAATTGGAAGCAAACAAGCCTGGGCTGATCTTACCCAACCCTTCTGAGCTGCAGATTTCCCATGCCAGAAATACCCGTTTCTCTCTCTATATTAAACGAGTATTATAATAAGTTAATATAGTAATATAATAAAGTATTACTCATTTAATATTGGTCAAGTAATTGCTTTCTTAAGAGAAACAGATAACAGTTTCATCATCTCTCTGATTGTCCTGGGCCTCCTGCGGGTGTGTGAGCACCCTGCCTGGGTCGTGTTCTCCTAAGCCACCTCACTTCTGTCATTATCACTAAGTACTTTCCACTGTGGATACAGGGATGAATGAAGAAATATTTATCCAGATAAAAATGATTCCCAAATGGGGTGTAAAGCTGGACAGGAGCAAAGCTCATTTCTTCATCTGCCAATAATTCACTTCTTTGTTCATCTGATGATAATCTGAGCCCAGACTATTGCCTCGCTCTGTTCCAGGTGCTGGGGCTGGAGGAATAGGCAGAGCAAGATCCGGCAGGGCAGTCAGAGAAGGAATGAAGGAATGATTGAATGAATGAATGAACGAACGAACACACAGGTCATTTCAGATAGCGATGGGTGCGGCAATCAAGGTGAAATGGAGCGGTGTGATGAAGAGTGGTACTGGGGGCAGTACCTGAGTCTGGCTGGAAGTGACGTTTGAGCTAAAACCTGAATGTAACAGGCAGCCCTGGGAAGAAGGGAGGGAGCATTCCAGGGGGAGGAAACAGTAACTGCAAAGGCTCTCGGGAGATCGGCTCTGGTGTGTTTGAAGAAAAGTAAGAAGATTCAGTGACTAGCTGGCTCCCAGAGAAGATGAATGTGGCTGCTAAGAATTTGAAAAAAGATGTCCAGGCTCACTTATGATTAAAGAAATGCAAGTTAAAAATACATTGAAGTCCTGTTTTATATCCTGACTGAA